TAGGTATGCCCGTACTATCTAAATATTTTTTTCCAAAAGCATTTGTTACTTTGTAATTAAAAAATAAAAACTAAAGACTTTCTAAAGGAAATTTTTAAAAGAGAAAAAAAATTGGAAAATGTCTAAGTAGCACAAATAGCGCTATATTGGATGTTTGGATTCTAGCCCCTGCCAACAGGGGCTCCACGTCTCGGCCAATGACCCGTGAGCTTGGAAAAGGACTGCGTCTCCAATGAGACTGCAGTCCTCATGGACACCTTGATGAGAGCCTGGTAAAGAAAAACTCTGAGCAGAGCACCCAGCTAAGCCATGCCCGAACTCCCGACCCACAGAAACAGTGAGATGACAAAGGTATGTTATTTTAAATTGCTACAACTGGGACAATTTATTATGCAGCAAAAAACAAAAACAAAAAAAACTAATATACCGTTTACACAAGATTCCCAGGAATATATGTTATACCTGTAAGGTAGGAATTTTCATGAGGCTATATGAGAAGTTTTTTGAAACTTCAAATAAAAGCATAAATGTTAAAAAGCATTATTTTCATTTACTTTGCAATATATTAAACCAAATATATTATACCTCTATTTGAGTATCTTTCATAAAAGCATATAATCCCATCCTTATGGGGATCCTAATTCTAGTACTAACTTCTAAAAATTATGACAATTTTTACTAGACTTTCAAAACAGTCACTCTTACATCTACAATTAGTTTAACTTAAGACCCTCAAACTGGACTAATTCAGACCTCTATATCTGGATGATGCCCAACCTGACAATTCAGATAGAAAACAAACCAAATCTACTTGTCAGCACCAAGAATACTTCTTTGTCACCTTGGTTCTTTTGTTTCCAAATTTGCCCTGGGCAGTATTCTTGCCCTAATTGCAGTTTTCCCATTCCTGAACAGAACCACAGCCCTGACCAGTCACTCTAAAAACAGCATCATGTCTGTCTGGGTCCTCTACATGACAAGTCCACATGAAATCCTGCCACAATTCCATCTGGCCAGGGCAGGGGGAAGGAGGCCGGAAATAGGTCTGACAAAGGACAGAAAGAATACAGAAAAGCAGCGTTCACTCGGGAATGTCACAACCAGCGTTTCCCACCACTGACCCCACACAGAGGCTGCTAGACTGAACAGCACGTCCTGCAGCTGGTCCCAGCTTGAGCTGCACGCTGCCAAGGGGGAGGAATAAAAGCAAATAGAGTCCTGACCCTGCATGTTACTCCACCAGGCCAACATTCCCTGTCGATTCTCACCTGACCCTCCTCCATCTCCAGCTGAAAAGCCCTTCTGGTAAAGACCGTGTCAACATCTGGAACTGGCCCAGATTAGAGACTCTGCTTGGGTTATGAAGCCACTCGGTGTGTGAACAACTGTGTGAGCCCGCCTCAACGTGAACGATGGATATACCTGGAGCACGCCCTTGAGTATCTTTCATAAAAGTACCTGACCCCATCTTTCTGGGGATCCTAATTCTAGTACTAATTTCTAAAAATTAAGACAATTTTTACTAGATTGTCAGAACAGTCCACTTACAACTACAATGAGTTTAACATGAGATCTGAAAATTGGACTAATTCGACCTCTATATCTAGATGATCCCCAACCTGATAATTAAGGTGGAAAATAAACTACATCTACTTGTCAATAATAAAAATACTTCTTATTCAAAGAAGGACTGCAAGGAGCATATTAGATTAAAACAAACCATATGCCTTAGAGAATAGAATAAAACTTTGAATTACTTCGGAAGCAAAGATGTCAACAAAATTTCCCTAAAGTGAATGAACTTCAACTATGCCCCAGAGTCCCTGAAGCACCTATTTACTCTTCTCCCCCATTAGTTCTCTAGGAAAGAAGTATGTCTTTGGGTACACTGGAAATCTAGAGCTCAAACGATATACTTCCCAGGGCGGATATCCTCTAAGGTGGTACCAATATCAGTAAAGCCACTTGACTACTACAAAATCCCCTACAAAAACCTGTGAGGGGCTTACAGCAGGTGGCCTCATCAGCATCCATTCCCCTTTTCCTCTTCTAGCATGGTGACAGATACATCTGATTGGGTGTCACCCCCCTTACACACAGCCCATCTACTTTGGAAAAAGCTGACCCCACCCTAATCCTAGGAGGAGACACTGTTGTCCTGAGCCAGTCAGCTCATTGCAGTCGCCTGACCACGGTCAGTAGTTTGAAGCGTGTATGTGACTCAAGTGGCCTACGCAGAACTTCAGGTTTAGGGTCACAAGGGATTCTACTTCCAGGTTCAGCTGCCTGGAGATCCACTAGGGGTTATGCATTCTCTAGAGAGCTGATAACTCACATCTAGAGGCAAAGCAATCCCCTGTGAGAGCTCTGTGAAGGTGGGGACTACTTCTCATCTCCAGATATGGGGGATGAGGGTGGACATGGAAGGCAGGGTGGAAGAACAGGGTCCCCCGAGCTGGAGCTGGTTCACACAGGAGGCTGCTAAGGCCATGGATTTAGCCAGAGTTCGAAAGTATGAGCCAATGGTCCTTCCGCTCACTGGCCACTTTGTCAACCATGACTTCTGAACACATGACTGTTCGATGTGTTTGCATGATGAATCATCGTGGACTGTCACCCACTTTTATAGAATAAAACAAAGCTATGAGATTACAAAAGAGATTTTTTTGAAAAACGCACCTTTATTTTCTGGGAAAGAATTTTAAAAACAAAGTGAAGTACCAGACAGTAAAATACGGCATGTCATATTAACTTGGCCTTTGGCATCAGGCTAAACATTTTATAATCCATGAACAAAAGTAAAGCAGGAATATTATCAGCATAAGAACCAGAAACAGATTTCCCAAGGGTGGTATACATGACGTGTGGGGTTGCAGAGGTGTGGTAATCAAATTTATTGTACAGTATTTTTTTAATTATAAAAACAATACATGTCTGACTTAAGTCTTATAATAAAGAGGTCTACAGAATAACCTTTCCTTGTCCCCACATCCCATCCCTAAAGCCCCCATTAAAAAAAATTGGATCATATGACACACATTCTATAACCTGTCGTGTTCTTTGTATTTTTGCTTCAAATAGAGAATGCCCAACCCTCCAATATGATTTGATTAAAGTTACAAAATGAAGGCACACACCTCATAGAAAAGACAGTCCCAAAGTATCATGGAAAACTTTAACTGATATGAATATCTGAAAGCAGAAAGAAATTTTCTGCTTTTGTTTTATACCAGAAAGGGCATTCCAAAAATAGTTAGAGAATAAAATTATGTGGGGCTGAAACCCAGACATTTTGTCTGCTCAAGAATGTTAACAGTTGGCATTTTGTTAAAAAGGGGATTGTTTTATTTTTAGTGGGCACAACAAATCAGGTATTTGAATGCAGGTAATGTCCTACTCTCCATCCTATTTTCAATTCATCTAAAAGTGAATTGTGCTTCTTAGAGCCAAAAAGAAAAACGATCAGCAGCGTTAGTTACAATATAATTGGTTCCTCCTATCTCCATCTCGGAAACCAATGTTCAAAGTCTGTCTTTTATTTGTTATCAGACCATACTTTCAATTAAAGCTGCAGAACCGTAAGGTTTTCCCACCTGACGGCTGAACTGCTGTGCTTTGAGGGAAGGTGACACCAGGTTGTCATTGCCAAGCCAAAGAGTACACCTCTTCCCTGCTCTGCAGCAGCGTTTTATACCTTTTCCATTTGCATCAGCATTTTGCATAGCTACATCTCAGAACTTAGTTTCTTATCAAATTAATGTCCCAAGAGCAGTATTCACATATCTCATGTTACTGTCAACCTCCTCCTAACACCAACAATACAAATCAATCAAGATGAAAAGTTCAGTCCCCAGATGGTGACCATTATTTCATTAAGAAATTATCCAAAGTTATCCTTGAGACACGACTGGCTATCTGAAAAGGTAAGCGATGTGGGACATAAATTAACATGGCTTTGCATACAATTTTTTTAAATATATTCGTTCCACAAAAGTTATAACTGATCCTACTTGTATCAGCTATGACCTCTCCTTTTATTTATTTATATTTTCTCCTACTGTTTCCATATTAATAGGAAAACAGGCACGTCCCAATAATCTCATTCATCTCTAGGCACAGAGACACAATAAAAAGGGGAAAAGAGCTCAGAAGCAAAGCAGAAACGATTAAAACTATGCACTTCCATCCAATCCATCCTGTTTCCTTCTCAGCCGCTGGTACAGGAAACCAATGCCCATTTCCTTGGTTTAATTAACAACACACCTCTACCTGAACAGATGCAAATTTCTGGGCTTAACGCAACTTTCTGAAAAGCTGCATATACATGTATTTTTTACTCATGTTTTAAATATATTTAAGGAACCTGATAGTTAAAGTAATAGTGTGAAATACTTTACAAAGAACTTTTACAACGTTAAATTTCTCCAATTATTGTATATATTTATATGCTTTCTTTTTGCATATGACATTACACTTTCATATAGCAGGACATGACTATTCCTACATCTCCAGGGACCAAACACATATTTTTATCTGGTAATCTGCTGTCTCTACTCACTACAATTGTCAAGAAGGTTCATGTATTTTTTGACAGTTCACTGCCTTGCATTTTATGAACAGCTTCTGAAAGGTTAGACTGCTGATCTTGTGAAGGCATCCAAGACACCTATGGATTTAAAAACTCTGCCTGAATATATGGTTCCTCAGAGGTCAGGAATTAAGTATTCCTCTGCTTGCTGTAGAATGCCCCCAACATCTCATGCAAGTCAGCGCTCTATAAACACCATATGGAAAGTAGACTCACTTGACTCTAATCAATATTACTCATGTGCCAAACGAGCAAACACAAAACTCTTCCTGAGGGTATAAACAAATACCTCTGACAAACCAATAAAAAAAAAAGAGAGACAGAGAAAGAGTTTGAGGAAGAGAAGGCAGCTCTTTGCCACAAAATACATAATCTAAATAAACCCCACAGATGACCTTCAGTGCATACTCACATATATTTCATTATGGTCAAAGCGCTTCTTGAGGTTATTGATAAAGGTCTCCTCATTGAGTGGTTCTAAAAGAACCATATCTCCAACTCCAATCATATTGTCCAGAAGTGACGTTTTCACCTCCATTTTGGCCATCGTCTCCGGCTATAAGAAAGAGGGGGAAAGGGTCAATTTAAATAAGCAAAATTATTTCAGATGGGTTTTAGCACCACTGGAGAAATGAAACACTGGTAGTTCCAAAAGACCCTCACCTGCCTCACGAACGTGGTAGCCTGCCCTCCCTACACTATGTCAGCAGCCTCTGAGGTGGCTACAGTCGTTGCCATGCTACTAGAAGCCCCATTTGCCGACCTGCTGCAACAAACGAACCTCCTTCCCAGGCCATCATCCCAGGCAAAGTCCATCTTTAGAAGGAACCACTAGGAAGCCAGGGTCTCCGTTTTCTTAGAACAGAGACATCCCATTTTCTTAGAACATCCCATTTTCCCAATCAGAAGCTACAAGGCTCTAGCAAGAGACCCGACCTACCCCTTTCCACCAGCCCTTACATCCCACTGTCAGACTTGAACCTATGTAAGCCTGCTTCCCCTAAGATGGCATCCCCCAGTATTCCACGATGACATTCAGAATGCATTTTCCCAGGAAACAGTATTTAAAAGGTGATGCTAACATTTACTGGGTACTTGCCACGTATCAGACACTAGAACGAGAACTTTACATGCATTAATTAATTTAATCCGCAAAACAACTCTATGAGTTAGGTTATCATTACCCTCACTTTAAGATGAGGAAGCTCAGAGAGATTAAGAAATTTTTCTTATGGTTCCTTCTGAATGCGTTACATTTTGTGCCAAAGAACTCAGTCACCACTTATACCACTGCACCTATGGGAAAAATTTTCATTGAGGCATCAACGCTGACTTCGAAAGCACACAACCCACTTGTAAATCAGAGGTTGCCTATCTAATATAACCTGCCAAGAGTGACTTCAATGTTCTTAATTCTCATTCCATCACACATACCACTGAAACAGCAAAATCAAACTAACATGCAATGTATATTCATAGCCCTAATAATAAGGGAAATGTACATTTAATTCTTTCCTTTAAGGAGTCACCCAGGCATATTTTATCTTATAGAGGTTGATCTCCTTCCTTAAAAATCAGCAATTTAAATAAATGTTCTATTCTAGTATAGAATATTCAGTGGGTCTCTGACAGGCAACAGAAACTACATTGAGTTGGGCTGTTTTTTTAAAGGGCTGGGAAAGCCTGGGAATTATGTGATTCTTTACTACTAATTACTAATAATTTATACAAATTCACAAACATATAATTTATTTCTGACACTATTAAAAAGCTTTTTTTAAGTGTGCACTGAAAAGCCAAAAAGAAACCAAGAAGAAACAGAGCTCTCCGGTATACAACCACCACCACCACCAGAAAATAAAAATTAAAAATAAGGAAGTATTTAATATTCAAAAGAATAAAAATAGAGTTAACTTTTGTTACTATAAGGGGGTTTTTTTGTTTGTTTAAGCTTCATGCCAACTACACCTGAAATAAATATCCCCAGGTATTGCTAAAACCCAACAATAGTAGCACTAAGAATGGTTTCATGCACACTGAAGTAGGCCATACTCTGTTTTAAAACGAACTAGGTAGGGGTGGGGGCATTTGCCATTCTCTAGAAATGCAGCAGAAGCCAGAGAGACAGCTGGTCTCACGCCAAGTCCATGGAAAGGCCAAGTCCATGGAAAGACTTGCACAGGAATAGGAACCTGAGTGCCCAACCTTTGTCACAATAAATTAACATTTAAATCAAATTTCAAGTTCTCAGACTCCTGAAATGCCAAAGGCACTCTAGCGGCGATTCATTACATATAATTTGGCAGATGAGGGAAGAAGGCTTAGGGATTAAGGGGAAGTCAACCTGAGATGGGTTTCAAAAATAACCATCTCAAACCAGCGATTTAAATTAAGCAAAGAGGCTGAATGGGAACTCTCTGCCCTGAGGTGGATTCCTGTATATAAGGTCTATTTATGGAAACAGATGCAGAAAAACAACAGTTGGCTGCAGGTAACAATAATTAAGCAGCCAATCTTTCTGTCATTACACCTGCTTCACCATCTTTTCAAACATAAATTTCAATCAAATGTGTATGGGTTCTAATTTTTACATTTGTATCTCAACTTTATAATCTTAAGGGGGAGGGAGGGTGGGGACAAAACAAATGCTGTATTATAGGCAACCGGTAAAAGTGGAAAACCTGAAAATACAACTTCTGCAAACCAAAATACAAGGGGGTAAACCAGCTGAAAGGTTACTAACATTCTTTTAGTCATTCAAGCACAGCTCTGCCTCATTGTGTTTGTCTTTTTAGCATCTACCCAGGGGAAACAGTGACACTCTCCCTCACTCTCCTGGTAAAAATGGAACACTGAGAAAGTGTTCCTACAAAGTGTCCCTATCTTCCTACAAATGTGCTGATTTCCCTCATTGTGACTACATCTCCAGCCTTGGTTTGGTTCATTTTGACATCTCAATGAAATTAGTTGGTATATTTGCTCCAGCAAAAGAAATTGGTTTTGTTTTTTGTTTTTCTCTGAAAGAACAATGTTTATCATAAGAACAAAGGTCAGAATCACTGGCTAACTCAAGATTTCCATAAACTATCAGAAGAATTCCCATGGGGAAATTAAATGAAAACGCATGCGGAGCACTGAAGATACTTTTTGTTTGATGCGTAGATGTGGACCTTCACCCTTCCCAAGACCCCCAGGGGAATCCATGGTGCTCTAGGGAAGCCAATTATACCTTGCTCCAGGAATGTAGCACGTGATCCACATACACTAAACCAAGCAACACATTTCCATCTCCCAGCCACTGTAACTGATTCAGAGCTGGTCATATAACGGAGCTGGAAGCTTAGTACATTAGGACAAAGGTTCTATCTACCCATGGATGGCATGATTTACAGACATGATATTTGGAACTGAAGAGGCCATGTCTGCTTTCATAAAGGGGCTAGTCTGAGGATGCCAACACATAGAGGTGAGCCGGGCAAGAAAATATCCGAGAAGAAAATTCATGTCGGAGCCCTGAAGACACCACAAACCTACAGTGCCCACCCCACAGCTCTCAAGTTTCCAGTCAAGGAAGTCAATTAGTTCACTTTATCGTTTAAGTTGTTTGAGTTGGAGTGTTTATTATTGGCAACAGAAAGCATCTTACCTAATAATAGAATCCGATATGAGGAAGTACGGTGTTTTAAGTCACACATTAAAGGGCACAGCTGAGCCAATGCCACAGAGTGGAGGGCATGAGGACATACTATCTTGGGCTGGCAAGATGATTATTTCTTATTCTTCATAATAAAACAGCTGATTAAACCATGGCCTGTTGTGTTTTAAGACTTGGACTTTGTGTCTGCAACTTTTAAAGAATTCAAAAAAAAAAAAACAAGTTCAGATACCAGAGTATATGTTGGCTACTTCTTAAGGATCAACAAGAAACAGACAAGCATGCTGTGAAACTGGCCTGAAGGTCAGAGGGGAGACATAAGGTGCTAAGAGGAGTCCTTCTGCCTGGAGGGGGGAGATGGGACTTATCCAAAGCTCCAACTGTTTTGCCTCTACGGCCTGAGAGAGGGATAGCGCTGCCACCAACCATGAAGACATAGCACAGGAGAGGTATCACCCACTCCCCATCTATTGCTGCTTACACTTCTTAACTGCTCCCAGGTAGATTCTATTAACCAAGTGCTAAGACACCCTGCAGAGCACCAAGGCCAGGTCCAGTTGCCAGGAGACAAGTTCTCAGACCAAGTTCTAGGTTCAAAACCTTGGGTATTGGCAGTATCTCCAGTTTTGGTGACTAGTCCATGGAAGCAAATAAATCTTAAGAGCCAACAACATCTTTACAAGATCTGTACTGCCAATAAAGTCTGGCTGACAGTGAGTGACTTAAATTCCTTGATCCTTAAAACAATCAACCCCAAGACCTCCAACTCGTAAGAACAAAAAAAAAAAAGAACTGCTACAACATCGCAGCCCCTGACAAAGCCATCTTCCCCAACGCTCCTCCTCTTAGATGTAGCCACAGAAAACAAACAGAGGAGATCTTGGAGACCAGAGCCTCTGAATATGGGGTGGCTATGTTTTCAGTCATACCGGGAGAGTTGCATTATGTTGGCTGGGGCATTTTATTTTTGGAAGCATAAGTATGGCTTAAAAAAAAAAGGTGTATGTGAATGGTGGGCAGCCAAAGGGGAGAGCCATGGTAGACAATTGTTTTTTGTTTGTTTGTTTGGTTGGTTTGGTTTTTTTTTTAAGGGGACACAGTCCTTTTCCTCTTTGCACCTAATCTCACTTTTAACGATTCCCCAGTTACCTTGTAATAACAAGTAATTTCTTGAGAAGTAGTGCCCAATTCCCATTACAGAATTCAAAGGAGAAAGATCTGCGCTCTCTCCACCCCAAGCAACATGGCTTATGCACAATCACATCCTCCTGGGACCTGGAGTTCTGGTGGATATGAAAGCTGGTGGTGACAGCCTGGAGGTTATACTCATCAGTCACCGCAGCCACAGCAGCACCATGAAGACCAGGTGGTTCCTGCAGCATGGTTCAGCCAGGGGTCCTGCTGCCCAGTCCTCCAGTCTTGCCTTGGTTCCTGCCTATCTTCCAAGCCTGTGTCCTTCCTCCTGTGTCCTTCCTGGTCTTCCAACCTCTCTGCAGTTCCAAGTCTCTACATCATCCCCTGCACTGCAAACAACCAAGACCCCTAACTGGCATGAACACTAAGAACAGTGTCCAACATATAGTATGACACCACTGTTAAAGCTTCATTATGACGTAAAACCTACTCTTTCCTCCAACCTTGGTGAAAGCAAGACAAAATACTGGGGTGCTGATTTAGTCCAGCCACCGACCCACCGACTGACGCCAGGTGACTACCTGGCTACCTCAGCTCTTTCCCTCCAAAAAAAATTACTACCTATATTTCAGTGTACACCAATTCATTCACTCACATCTTTTGCAGTGTAAAAATACCATTTAAATGTTGAAAGCATCATTTCAAACATTCCTCTAAATCCAAAAGAAAATGCAGCATAAACATCCTATACCATCTTAAAATGGCCA